CTTGCTGACCCACAGTATGGCCATGAATGTTACTGGATGATTTAACGGGTTTCATAATGTTGAGGTTGATAACGAGTTTCATTACAGGTCATTATGGTCTGAAATATCACCTTCATACACTACAATTATCTGCTAACTCGGAATGCAGATTATGCCTTGAAGATGAGGAAACGACCATGCACATTCTTTGTGACTGTCCAGCTTTAATAATGCATAGAAGAAACCTGTTTGATAAAGAATTTCTGTCAGCAGAGCAGATTAAGAACTCTTCTCTAGATTTAGTTCTACATTTTATTCACAAACTTTAAGGGGTTTTGTTTAATCAATAGTGAAACTGGTACAATAGGACTCTTCTGGCCGCAGTACCGGCTGTTGGGCAAGTTTCACGTCTACTCTTTAAAAAAAAAAATAAAAATACTGGATGATTCGTTATTTTTCAAACAGATAATCTATAATCTGTGGTTCTTTAGTACCCCAAGGGTTAAATCCAATAAATCAACAAAATGTGATAGATCCGCTCTTAAAATGATTAAAGGGTGACAAAAACTGCTAATACTAATTCTAAATTCTTGGACTTACTATACAGCTATTTTGGATAATGCTAAATATTTATAATCATCAGTTCTTTGGTACCCCTAGCGTTAAACCCAATAAAGCAACAAAATCTGTTAGATCCGTTCTGAAAATGGGAAAACGGTTACACAAACCCCATATTCTAATTGTTACAGCCAAATCATCACCAATTTTTTGGAGGTTACGAGTATGTGATCTGAATAAAATGATGCTACAAGCGAAGAAGAAGAACAAGAAAGAAAAGAAGAAAGAGAGGAAAAAAAAGAAAAGAAGAACAAGAGAAAAAGAACAAGAAAGAAAAGAAGAAAAATAAGAAGAGAGAAAGAGAAGCAGAAAAAGAGAAGTAGAAAAACGAAAAGAAGAAATAGAAGTTGAAAAACTAAAAGAGTATAAAGAAGAAGAAGATGATAAAGAAGAAGAGGCCCTATAATATCTATAGATATATGACATGAGCGCCGTAAGAAACAAATTTTGTGTTCTCCAAAGTCAAATTACTTTATTCAAATAATATATATATATAATCACTGACAATTTTTAATATTTCTCAAAATTTTGTAATTTAAGCAAAATAACAATTCTCATTTGGTATTAATGATAAAACTATGTGATTATTGCCAATACATCAAATTTATGTTATTTACTATATTTAATAAATTTTGTTTTTTAACATTTAAGCAGTTAATGAATCGAGCCAAGTAATGGTATAAGGATGTAAATTAAAAAGTGTTGATAATTAAAGTTAATACTTAAAAAGATATAAATAACGAATGAATTATTCAGGAATTTATATTTATGTTTCGTTGATTCATTATTACAACTTTATAATGGCACCACATAACAATTTAGGCTTTAAGTGTATAATGCTTAGCATTTTAATATATTATATTTCTTATTCTAATTAGCAAAATGAAATTGAAGTTGATCATCAACAACTTATGGTGTAAACTTACTTTCAGATTGTTCAGTATTGGTGAAGTAGGCGCCAATAAGTGCACAGGCCTTTCTGTACACATCTTTATTTTTATGACACTGCAAACCTTGTAATTTTCTTAAACCTCCAATTTTTTCAAAAATAACACACAGATTGTGTAAGTTGCCGGTTCTTTTAGCTAATCCAAAACAATTACTAATCCCAGTAAGTACGATCTTAACAACGAAATCATTGTTTGCATTGAGTAAACCAGAAAATGGTTTAAGCAAATCATACTTCTCCCACAAATCTCTAACTTGATCTATTGATTCATTTGTTGTTATATTCGTAACAGTCCATATAGCTTCTTTTTTGGATCTAAAATCACCTTTCTTTAAAACATAACTGATGTTGGTGAGCAAATTGGAATCTAAAACTGCTTGAATATGTTTTTGATTGCCGGCAGTTATGTGCCCAATAGCATAGGCTGCTTCCAACACGATGTTGTTATTATTATGTCTTAACAAAACAGCCAACTTTTGTAATCCCTTCGCTTCAATTACTTTATCGATTTGGTAGTCAGTGCCACTACAAACTATGTTGCTAACAGTGCGTAGTGCAGGTGCAATAATATGAGGTACCTCAGAGCCCAACATTACGATTAGGCGTGGCACGACACCAGCTTCAACAACAACTTGAATCCTGTTATTGTCAACATTTGTAACGTATGATAAGGCCCAACAAGCATTAGCCGCAACTGATATATCATTGACGCACAGAAAATCTGATAACACTGGTATTAAAAGTTGAATTTGATCAAATGGCGGAGGTGACTTCTTATTATCACACAAATTGGTCATTAGCCAAACAATAATACGTAACACGGAAAACGGGATAATATTGTTGATTATTTTTGTAATGCACGGTACGACGTTACAATTGATAATCATATCTCGAGCTGCAGAGCTATATTCAGCAATTTTTGCTAGAACCCAGGCAGCCTGTTCCACAAGACTTATTGACTTGGATTGTAATAAAATAATCAAGTGTGGAATCGCATCATAAGTGATACTTTGTATTCGTTCAGATTTACGAGAAGCGATATTAGTCAGTACCCAAGCTGCTTCAAATTGCATTATAGGATTAAAAGTATCTTGCAATAATTTAATAGCAATTGGAACAACACTATGATAAATTCTCTCATCAATCTTTTTATAAGGTCGATCACAAATCATTTTACGAGCCGCTATCATACCAGTAAATTGTTGATACTTATTTTCGCTTAGCATTGTGTCTACAATTTGTTCAACAGTAGGTAAAGCCGATGATTGTCCATTATTTTGAGTAGAGAGCGGCCAAACAACTTTGTCTATATTATTAGTATTACGACGTTTAAACCAATGATATTCCTTCGAGTATTGACGCACTTCTCTTCTATTCTCATTGCGGCGATGATCCGATTTTTTAGTGTCTCGGATGTTCCACTTGTACAAATTGTGGCTACTGGTTTCCAATTTACTATACATTTCAAACGAAATCAAGTCAATTAAAAGGAAACTTGTAGGACGCTTTATCGCAAAAACAAAGCTTGCCACACTTTGAAAACTGCCAGTGATGCCAAATCATGATCAAAGATCACGTATGTACATAGAAAATTTATTAATGACCAAATATCAATTTTGAAAATGTATTATTAAAAATTTTTTGGAATTGCAAAATTGCTCCAATATTGCCGCAATAGTATTGCAGCATGTTCATAAATGTAATTTCTGGCCACACTGTTACAGTCATCTCTTAATAAATGCAGCATTTACAAAGCTTTTGCGCAGTTATTACGCAAATCATGCATTAATAATTTTTGTGTTGTAATGCTTAAGTTTCAATTTGTCGGTACGTACCGTAAGAACATAAGTCAAAGCGAAATGCACAATCAACCATACCTGTGTATTTGATAGGAACAAATTAACTAAAGCGGCGAACTTTGTTTATTTCGTTCATATCAAATACACGGTTATAGTTGATTGTACATTTTGCTTTGATTTAACGACTAACGTAACGACTAACTGAGCCTTAAATATTATTATTCCATTTTGAATTCACAAAATTATGTGTAAAAAAGAAAAGGTTAAGCTAGAACCAACTTGAGGCTTTTATAAAGGTGAGAGTTTGGTCAATGTTAATGCTGGAGATATCAGTGAATGTATTAAAGAAGGCGGTTTCCAGAAACTTAAGCCTACTTCTGGTCAAGCTTGGCCATAGACACAGCACGTGTTCCGGTGTCTTACTTTGAGAGTTGGTAGAGACGCGATGGAGGAGATACCACAGGATAGGCCATACTACAGAATCTAGATACTGTAGGGTTTGCTTCCGTGTTCTACATTTGGAATAGATTGGCTATGTAGCCTTTGATCTGATAGCTGAGGCGGCATTGGCTCACTCACTATTTGCCTGTCGCAAAAAATGGTCATATATCAATCTCCGACCGTAGCTGGCACGGGCAGGGTTTGAAATAGTGGCAAACAAATAGCTATAGTTCCTGAAAAAATCAAAAGACTAAAGTACAGTAATATCAACACTTCTTTATAAAAACTGTATGTTTTCATTATAATTTGCTTTTTTAATATTGTTTCAAAATATTAAAAGTTAATGGAGAGGTTTTTTGAATAGTAGGGAATCACAACAATAAAATTTTATTATTTCTTAATTAATTGAATTTTTGGCTTTTTAACTTATAAAATTTTGTTTTTGTAATGCTCTACTGTTTAAAATAACTCTTTATTAAAACAATAGTTTTTATTAAGTGACATGATTTCTTTCGTCATAATTAACTTTAAGAAACAAAATTGTGTTAATATTTATAAAAATAATATAGTTGGTATATATAGAACGAATTTTCTTTAAAAATATTTGTCAAGCCCTAAAAACCATAGCATTTCAAAAATTTATGATGTAAGATTTTCATGAAAGCAATCCAATCCATCGCAGCCGCTCAGAATTGGAGTTGGTTGAACGAAACCGAACTCGTTTGATATCTTGGATTTATTTTTTGAAATATTTTTTTTATTTTTATAGCGAGCAGGTGACTTTGTATGATTTCTAATCGACCTTGAGCGTGGCGCGTTTGCATATTGGAATTATTGACATTTAAAAAGCACTAAACAAAGTCGACCGCGGTGACTTTGTAGTGCACGAACGCATGCATTGGTGCCTAGGTTTTGCACTTGTGTGGTGTGGAATTCGTGCAGAGTCACAATAATAGCACGCAAATATTTTGCATAAGAATTTTGCAAACTGAAGACATCGTACCGCCGGCTTACCTCATGGCGGTAAATGTAACTTGATCTCATTAGATTGTATAACAAATAAGAGAACAACTTTTACAAACTATAATTTATACTTATAAAGTATATATAAGAGATGTTACACAAGTCCATTACTCGTAAAATTCTTAAAAATAATAACAATTGAAATTATAATAGCAGCAATATTAATATATGTAAAATTTTATTATTTTCAGTGCACACAGAACACATCGGTAAATGGTCAGAGAGATTCAGCAAACGGTAGCACACATCATGCCGTACCAGCGAAAACATATCACAACACACGTTGTACGCGACATAGTAAGCCACACACCCACCACACCACTAGTAACGGCGTAGTTGCTGCAAATGGAGAAGTAAGCCATCATCATGTCAATCACAACCAAAGCCACAATAATCACAATCACAGTCGTACTAATGGACATCGCAGGAAATCTGAATCCGTCTTATCAACTGACTCGGATATACGTTTCACACGTCGTAAATTGGGAGATAGTCAAAAGTGCGGTTGCGCTGTGATAGCAGGTTTTCTAGTCGCACTTTTGATGGCTGGTATCTTTGTTTATTTGGGTTGTAAGTACGAATATAATATGAAGTTTCGAACTTAAAATGTAAATCGAAAACAAAACATTTTATTTAATAGATACTTACTTCAAACCGGAACCACTCCCAGATCGAACATTTCGTGGCAAATTTATGGTTTTAAATGATAAATGGTCAATGGATTTGGCAGATCAAAATTCTCTACGATTTCAACATAAGTCGCGGGATTATCGTGAGCGTATTAATTTGGTTGTGAAGCGATCCGATCTTAGAGAAGCATACGAAGGCAGTGAAGTATTAGCTTTGGATGGGTAAGTGATTTAGCAAATTAAATGGACTAGATAAAATTAGAGAAGAAAGAAGATGTCTTTGTTCGTCAATTAGTTCGAATTATTGAGAAATTTTGAAAAGTGATTTAGTAGAGCTGTTAAAAATAGCACCTTTACTCCGTTTTCTGGGGGAGTAAATTCATCCATATTGAATAAACGTCGCGTTTTTATTGTGCAACCAAAAATCTTTATTCTAAGCAGAGCTGAAACATTGTTGGGATAACCATCTTTTTTGCTGCAATGTTTGGAAAGTTTAACCTCTATGTGCTTGGTGATAGAAACATAATTATGAATGTCGGAATTTTCGGTATATCAGGAGTTTTCGATTAGAAGTCAGCGCACAAGCACGACTCTCCCATTAAGTAAAGTTGAATCAACCTGACAGTTCTTAGCTAAGTCATTAATTTTGTAGGATGACGGCTCGATTAGGTCGGTTAGAAAAGCAGCCCAGACGATTTTAAATATGCTTCTAGATAAGGATGGATACTGATACATGAGGTGGAGCACTGTTTTCTTCTCATCCTCAAAACTACAACTTTGCATGTCTTTCTATTACGCAGTAACTGGTCCACACCGATACGATAGTACTGAGCAGATTACGCTTTAGTTGAAGCAGCTGACAGGTGCGTTTTTTGTTAGTTAAGGCGAGGTCAATCTAAAGATCTGACAAGAGAGTTCGTCTGCCTAATCTTGCTTGGTAAAACAAAAATATTGTTTTATTTTCAACCTAGCTAGCTGTTGCAAGTGGAACTCCAATATCTGAGAAATATATGTCAGGGAACAGAGGTCCAGCTTTGGGAAGCTCGTGTAGAGAGCTCTTGAAAGACAAATTTAACTGCTTTACTAAATACAAAACAATAAGTTTTTATGGTTCTTATTTTTGAAGAAGTGTTGAGCTTATTCAGAATTTGTGTAAAAATTTCATTTTTAGTCTTGATGTGGTGTTTTCAAATAATTTTTTTGCTGAAAGTTAAACCCAGGTATTACATTGTATTATTCCACTCAATGCTGGCATTGTTAATTGTTTACACCCTTGGCATCTAATGACGCTTACGGGTTTGATTTTTCATTTCTGAAAGTAATTGATCAGATATCAATATATATTTGGGAAAATAATGCACAGATGCATATTTGATATACCAAATATGTTCTAATTTATTTAAAAGAAGTAACTAAGTAACTAAGCTAATAAGTTTAGGTTCTTGAAAAAGAATCTAAATTTTGAGCAACATTCAAAATATTTTTAAAAATAGCTTTTTTTTTTAAATCCGCTGTCAAAATTGCGAGACCGGGAAATCGAATACTATACTATTTTTTTAATGAATTTTGCCAACTTTTCCACTTTAATGACCTTGAATTCAGTCTAGTTTATATCCAGGAAGGTTCTTGACTACTTGGATATACACATCTCCAAACGAGATTAACATTTCTTTAACATGGCTATTTATCCCTATGACTATATAGGGATATTTTCGGCAATTGCTAAGCAGATGAGTTTGCCAGAACATGTGCTTTAAGACTGCACTTGGAACCTGAGCATATCGTTAACATCATATAAACTGTTACTGTATTCTTTCTGTGCTGCACTTTTATAGAAAATATGGGAAGACTTAACGGTACGTAGGCCGTCAATTTGGTAAGGTTCCACTTAACGGATATCCAATACTCTTATAGGATGTTCTGTAGAGATAACAGTCTTGTGGTAGGTTTACTTACAGGTCATCGTAGATTAGGTAACGATACTAAAAGATTGAATCTCCCCTTTAATTATATTTGATCATGATCATCAACCTAACCTAAATAATTATATATTTAATATATATTTTAATATTTATGTAGATATTTTATCAATATTTGACTTACTTTTTAATTATTTTCTTAATTCCTTAAAAAAGTTCTGAAGATACGAACGCGCTTGTAATTCACTTCAACATGATATTTGATCCATACGTTGGTTTGGTGTCAACTGCTGATCTTTTAGCTTTGTTTGCGGAAGAAATAAATGCTCCACAACGCAAATACTTTGCCAACATGACAGTCGATCCAAATAGTTTAACAATCAAGGAAGTAACTGGTTTAATAGAAGAGCCTGTTATGTCATCATCGCCATTAGGTGGTGAGGATGAAACTACAGAATATATAACCACCACACCGAAACCTCCAAGACGTTGTGAACCTTTAAAATTAAACTTTTGTTCATCTGTCGGTTATAATATTACCACTTATCCAAATCTCTTGGGTCATTACACTCTAGAGGATGTACAAGCTGATGTTATAGCTTTCCGTTCATTGGTTGATGCTGAATGTTTTCGAGAAGCTTTTGATTTCGTTTGTAGACTTTTACAGCCACCATGTGAAACACATAGCATCTTAGAACCTACGCCTGGTATGATCTGTCGGGAATATTGTCAAATGTTTATGAAAGGCTGTGCAAATCACTTGCCACAACGTCTCAAACGTTTCTTTGACTGCGAACTGTTTCCAGAATCGACAGGTATACAAACGTGCCATCAAAAGCCACGCTGTGCCAATGATTTACAAAGTAATGCCTTGAGCCCACGTTTATGCGATGGTTATGCGGATTGTCCTGATTTCAGCGATGAACGTACTTGTTCATTTTGCAATGCGAATTCTCTGTATTGTGGCAGAGGTAGAGCTTGTGTGCCGCGTAAGGCACGTTGTGATGGCAAAGTAGATTGTCCTGATGGCGCTGATGAAAAAGATTGTCGTATGTGAAATATTAAATATGAATAAATTTTTTTAATATAATTATATATATTTTCTTTCAGTTTCTATATCACCACTTGCTGCAGATTTATTGAAACCCGAACCAATGGTACCATATCTACCACGTTTCCAAGCAGAAGGTTTTGCAGTATTTTCAGAGAAAGGCATTGTTGGTAAATTGTGTGCAGAAGGCTTGGAAGGTGACAACAAACTAATAGTACGCCAAACAGTTGCTGAGTCGCTCTGTAAATCATTGGGATATGAGTAAGTGATTCTGATATATTGCAGTTGTATGTTTTATTTTTATTGTTTTTGCAATTTTAGATCAGTTGAAATATTTGAAGTACGTAACGATACCGAAAGAGTAGAGGATTATGTGCGCGTTTTGGATCCACATGCACCTGAAATATCGTTTATACGCACCCATTGTCCAGCGCGAGAAGTGTTGTATGTCGGTTGTGGTGAATTACAATGCGGCATTCAATCGGTATTGACACCCAAACAGTATTTATCATTACCAAAAATGGCTTCTCCAGGTGATTGGCCATGGTTAGTCGCTTTGTATCGTGAAGATATACATGTTTGTGATGGCACACTGGTATGTGTTAACTGCTTATAAATAAAAAAGTACCAATTTATATATTATTATATATTTCAGATATCTGCAGACTGGGTACTTACAACCGAATCATGTTTTCAAGGTCAACCACGTGCAACATGGATGGCAATATTTGGTTCTGTGCGTTTAACTTCTAATGCACCATGGACACAACGACGCCGTATAATTGGCATGATAAAAAGTCCGATTGAAGGTTCCACAGCAGCACTTATACGTTTAGAAACACCTGTTACATATTCTGATCATGTCCGTCCAATATGTTTACCAGATGAGCTACAACGTAAACAGGATCATGAGATACAACGACGTGTATTTGTACCAAAAGCCGAAAGATTACAAAGTAAACAAGTGCCTTCATCTCAAAATGTACCAGCACAAAGACGTTTAGCGCACGAAACTCAACAATTCTTTGTATCACCGACATTAGACAATGGAAGCAATGAAAAATTGTTGGAATCTTCTATTGAGAGTGAACGATTTTATGCAGCCGCATCTCAAATGCCACATGCAGAGGCTTTAAAACAGGAACAAGCAGATTATGATGGATATCCTTTACCTGAGACAGCACCACAAATAAATTATTATGATAGCTCACGTGGACAGAATGGAGCTCGTGGAGCTGCTAATCTGCAACCAATTGTACCAGAACATTATGTTAACTATCCAGCAAGTAGAGCAAAGACGGTTACTAAGGCACCTGAACAAATATGGACAAATTGTAATACATTGGGCTGGTCCAGACAACGTGATCATTTGCAGCGTGTACAACTTAAAATTGGTGATATGGCACCTTGTGAGAATATATCGATAGCTACCGTGAATAGTATGTGTACGGAAGCAACATATCAGAAACATGACTGCACGGTAAGTTTCTAAATATTGTTTTTAGGATACTAACTATCGATCAATTTTTTTATTTTTTATTTTTATCATTCTGAATCAAATAATTTATTTTTATTAACACTAAAAATACCTATCTATACAGAGACTTTCCAAAGTCTTAAGCACTTGTCTTTTCACTTTTTATTTTTTCATATATTCGATCCTCATATCTTAGCACTGTTAGCTAGAACTTTGGTTTGTTATTTATTTAAAGTTGTATTTTTATGTGTTCGAGTTAGATAACACTTTCACGGTGTATTCAAGCATTATGATGGCTAAAGCTGCAGTTGAATAACGCATTAGCGATAGACGTGCCTATATATCAGAAATAAATATCTGATACTTTGTTATATCTTTATGTAAGTTGGATTAGGAGAATTGTGTTTCATTATATCTATGTATGTTATTGCTTATCCGATCAAACGCATTGCACATGATTTTTTTTCTCGAAAGCTAGCTTTCAATTCTTTTTGTCTGCTAATTTTATATCAGTAACTAATATAACTCTTATTATTATTTAAGATTTGGTTGATTGGTTGCTGTGGCAGGCTATCAGATATCTTTCATGTACCTCGATTTTTCGCCGTTTTGCTACCACATTACTCACAAGAATCTCTGATATAGAAGAGTATAACTTAAATTCATCTTGTCGAATTTGTATAATTTAATAGAGCTTGTCACCAAACGACAGCGCCATACGTGAGAATTGGACGTAAAATGGTCCTGTACATCCAATGTGTAAGATTGGGACGAATCCGCCTTTTTTTTCAAACATTCTTTTGCTAGAGTAGAAAGCTACTCTTCTTGAATCGAAGATCGACATTGTATTTCCAGTTTAGCTAACTATCGAAATAAAGTCCTAGATATTTGCCTTTTTTCGATAGTGTCTGCTGTTGATCTCAGACTTATTCTTAATAATAATTCAATTCCGAGATATAAATGCGGTTATTTTTGTTTTTTTAGAATATATTATCTTTTATTTCGAAAGTTTTATGTTGTGTATCCCTACACGTGTTTCGCCAAATCCGTTTTTGCCTTCATCAGGAGAACTCCTAATATTAAAAACATCTAGCTATTTTACTAACTATTCATACTATTTACATGTTATTTCTTAATACTAATTTTGGTAGAGTTATTGTCCTTGGGGGTGACTGGTAAGAAATGGTGGCGGGGTTTGGACTGGTTTTGTTTTATTGTTACATACAGGTAGTTAGGTCGACTGTTTGTTGGTGTTTTGGGATGTATCTAAAAAGCCATGATGATACGTTGCCCTTATCGCCGTTGAGTAAAGTTGTGGCCTGATGTTTATGTATTTCAATGCTCTCTGCCGTTTCTAATTTCCAGCTATCCCTTACATTTTTGATTATTTGGGCGTTATCCCTGTTGATGTGGTGATTTTCCTTTACTATATGTCTGGCGACATTTGATTTTATGTGGGGGTTTATTTTTTTCGGTGCTTCTCTTGCTTTCTTTAGGTGTTCTTCACGTCTTACTGATAAGGGTCTTTTTGTTTGTCCGATGTATATTTTGTTGCAGGAGCCACATTTTATTTTGTATACTCCGCATTTTTCGAATGGGTCAATTGGGTCTTTTGCGGATGGTAATAGGTTTTCGAGTTGGTGTGGCCTACTTGAGTGAACTAAGTCGATATTGAACTGCTTTAACTTGGATTTTAGACATTTGGAGACGGTGTTGTTGTATACTACGGCGACTCTTCTTTGTTTTGGTTTTTCTGCTGTTAACGTCGTCATGTTCCTGGACTGTAGTTGCTGTAGTTTTTTTATGATTCTATCGATGGTGTTCTGAGGGTATCCGTTGATGTCCGCTATTTCCTTAATGTATGTGGTTTCTTCATGGATGGCTGCTTGTGTAAGGGGTAATGTGAGCATTCTATGTATCATGTGATGAAAGGCAACCATTTTATGTTCAAATGAATGGTTTGAATTGTTGGTTATGATACGTTTTGTACTCGTTGGTTTCCTGTAGATGCTAAATTCGAAAATACCGTTTTTGTGTTGTGTAAGTAGGTCTAAGAATAGTAGGCAGCCGTTGTTTTCTCGTTCGTGTGTGAGTTCGATGTTCCTGTGTGCACTGTTGAGATTCTCTAAAGTTTCTTGTAGCTTGTTTTTCCTTATGATTACGAATACATCATCTACATATCTGACCATACTCTTGATAAATTGTTTTCTTTTAAGCTGGACTCTAGTCTGCTCATGAACAATTCGCTTAAGAGGGATGATAAGGGGTTACCCATAGGGGCGTCTTTTTTTGTTTAAAGAATCTGCCTCTGAAGGTGTAGTAATTTTCCTCCATGCTAGTTGCGTTAGCTGGATGTGATTCATTATTTTAATTTTGCTGACTTTCTTTTTGAGGAGCTCTTCTTCAAGGATCCTTAAAGCTTCTTTCACGTTAACACTTGGGTATAATGCTTTTACGTCGAATGAAACTGTTTCTTCATCTCCTATGATGTTTTCCAATTTTAGTTTTTCTGCGAATTCTTTGGGGTACTTTACAGAAAACTGTTAGAGCTGCATAGGACACAGGTTAGTTCCTTTACCAACCATTTGGAGATGCGTTGGCATGGGGATCTGTCTGCTCTTATAATCTCTCTCATTTCTTTTGCAGGTTTGTGAATCTTTGGTAAGGCTTTGAACCGTGGAAGTGAGGGTACGGGTTCCTTCATTTGTTTCTTATCAAAATCTAAAAATTTTGAGCATTTTTCGACGAGTTTGTTGGTTCTGTAGAGACCGTTATCAATTTTTTCTTGGACTCTCTGGTCGTATTCGTCTTTTTTCATTATGACTAATGCTCAAAATTTTTAGATTTTGATAAGAAACAAATGAAGGAACCTGCACCCTCACTTCCACGGTTCAAAGCCTTACCAAAGATTCACAAACCTGCAAAAGAAATGAGAGAGATTATAAGAGCAGACAGATCCCCATGCCAACGCATCTCCAAATGGTTGGTAAAGGAACTAACCTGTATCCTATGCAGCTCTAACAGTTTTTCTGTAAAGAACCCCAAAGAATTCGCAGAAAAACTAAAATTGGAAAACATCACAAGAGATGAAGAAACAGTATCATTCGACGTAAAAGCATTATACCCAAGTGTTAACGTGAAAGAAGCTATAAGGATCCTTGAAGAAGAGCTCCTCAAAAAGAAAGTCAACAAAATTAAAATAATGAATTACATCCAGCTAACGCAACTCTGCATGGAGGAAAATTACTTCACCTTCAGAGGCAGATTTTTTAAACAAAAAAAAGACGCCCCTATGGGTAACCCCTTATCATCCCTCTTAAGCGAATTGTTCATGAGCAGACTAGAGTCCAGCTTAAAAGAAAACAACAATTTACCAAGAGTATGGATCAGATATGTAGATGATGTATTCGTAATCATAAGGAAAAACAAGCTACAAGAAACTTTAGAGAATCTCAACAGTGCACACAGGAACATCGAACTCACACACGAACGAGAAAACAACGGCTGCCTACTATTCTTAGACCTACTTACACAACACAAAAACGGTATTTTCGAATTTAGCATCTACAGGAAACCAACGAGTACAAAACGTATCATAACCAACAATTCAAACCATTCATTTGAACATAAAATGGTTGCCTTTCATCACATGATACATAGAATGCTCACATTACCCCTTACACAAGCAGCCATCCATGAAGAAACCACATACATTAAGGAAATAGCGGACATCAACGGATACCCTCAGAACACCATCGATAGAATCATAAAAAAGCTACAGCAGCTACAGTCCAGGAACATGACGACGTTGACAGCAGAAAAACCAAAACAAAGAAGAGTCGCCGTAGTATACAACAATACCGTCTCCAAATGTCTAAAATCCAAGTTAAAGCAGTTCAATATCGACTTAGTTCACTCAAGTAGGCCACACCAACTCGAAAACCTATTACCATCCGCAAAAGACCCAATTGACCCATTCGAAAAATGCAGAGTATACAAAATAAAATGTGGCTCCTGCAACAAAATATACATCGGACAAACAAAAAGACCCTTATCAGTAAGACGTGAAGAACACCTAAAGAAAGCAAGAGAAGCACCGAAAAAAATAAACCCCCACATAAAATCAAATGTCGCCAGACATATAGTAAAGAAAAATCACCACATCAACAGGGATAACGCCCAAATAATCAAAAATGTAAGGGATAGCTGGAAATTAGAAACGGCAGAGAGCATTGAAATACATAAACATCAGGCCACAACTTTACTCAACGGCGATAAGGGCAACGTATCATCATGGCTTTTTAGATACATCCCAAAACACCAACAAACAGTCGACCTAACTACCTGTATGTAACAATAAATCAAAACCAGTCCAAACCCCGCCACCATTTCTTACCAGTCACCCCCAAGGACAATAACTCTACCAAAATTAGTATTAAGAAATAACATGTAAATAGTATGAATAGTTAGTAAAATAGCTAGATGTTTTTAATATTAGGAATTCTCCTGATGAAGGCAAAAGCGGATTTGCCGAAACACGTGTAGGGATACACAACATAAAACTTTCGAAATAAAAGATAATATATTCTAAAAAAACAAAAATAACCGTATTTAAATATTTTCGAAGTAACGACTCAAAAGTTAAAACAAAAATAAATCCGAGATATAGTTGAAAATATTTTAAAAATATTTTTATTAAATTAAGTTTACTTAATTATTACATTCAAATATATACTTTGAGACATTTATCCATTTATGTGTTTACACTCTATACAGTAATTACATCAAATATATAGTATATTTTAAAACATTTATCTTTTTATGAGTACACAGTTTATGAGTTTACATTTAGAAATATATAGTGCTAATATATTGTGTATTGCGGACACAATTTTTCTTAAATTAAAAACTTTAAAATTTTTGAAATAAATATTATAAGAAATTATAATAAAATACTAGCATTACTATTGCAATAAAATACAATAAAATTAAGTTTTTGCAATCGAAGGCTCTGTAGAAGCATTGCAAAGTAGTGACCGTAAGCGTTTTGGCTTTGGTTTAATGAATACATCGTTATCGTTGGGTTGTTTTAAAGCAGGCCGAATTAGTTCATTAGAAGAGTAGAAATTCGTGTTTCCCTGCTTTGCATTTAAGTCGTCGGGTCTTTGATGTCCACAATTCCCGCAATGAAATTTTGATCTTGATATTTTAAAGCCGCAACTTTTTAACTTTTTGTAAATGTGTTTGTTGGGAACTTTAAATACAACTTGTACATAAAATGAAATTTTAGGCTGGGGATATAAAATTAAATAGTTCTCCAATAGATGTTTCTCAAATATGTATCCGTCTCCATTGGTGATATGATATAAATGTTGTTTTTCCGGTACAATTTTAAAAGTTTTCATAACTAAAATTAAAACAGAATTTGTTAGACAATATTTATATAGATTTTATTTAAAGTGAATTTACCTTTTTTTCTAATAGTTTCATAGCTAGTTCCAGCTTTAAAAATAAATAGTCGCATTTGATTACGATAATAAATTTTCATATTATTTATTATAGAAGGCATTTCTGTAAAATTTTTTAATGTTTAATGCCAAACGTCTGAATATAAAATAAAGATTTATTTAACCAATATGTGTGTTCAGACCGAGAATTTAATGTACCAGGTATAAATGTTACATGTACTGTGTTGAATATTTGATGTGCAGGTAGAAGTTGTGAGTTCGCTACCTTGAGAGGTTTTCGCGGATTTGGAAATATTCACTAATTGCAAAAACTATTGCCTGTGCATAAATATACTACGCTAATAAATGCATTGATTTTAGAAACACTGAGTAAACCTTTTTAAATTTCACTGGAAAGTATAAAACAAACAGGCAAAATATTTGAAACTATATACCTTATTCACAAAAATTTATATGTATATAACATCACAACTTTAGTTAATATATACAGCTATGCTACATTAAAGTAAATAGCTAATCTCTTTCACATTTAAACATTGTACTACCGTTAAACAAAACTGATTGGAATATTGTTTTTAATAACAACTTTTTTATTCTTTTTTTTTTAATTTTAGCAAGAGGAATACTCAGGAGCACCAGTTCAATGCCTGATACCAGGCACAAATCAATGGGCACTGATTGGTGTTTCATCCTGGAGAATTGCCTGTGCAGCGTCGGGAGTTGAAAGGCCACGAATGTATGATAAAATTACATCGAATGCTGCATGGATAAGGGAAACAGTAAATTCAACATAGATATAAATAATAATGATAATAATCATTTAAAGTGTATATTATATCATATACTTCAGTTGTATTTTGTGTGCTTGTGTCAACAATATTAAAATATTATTACATCATCATTATTATTATTATTAGTTGTTATTATATTATATATTGAACAAAAAGTATTGTGTGAATCTGTGTGTTTGAGTACATATATTAGTCTTAATAATAAGTAGTTTTATAATATTTAATACTATTAAATCTTTTATGTTTAAAAACAACTTAATTTATTAACAAACTTTTTTAATAAAATGTTTTTAAAGTATATATATTGTGTATTTATATAGTTAACCGCAGCTAATATAAATTGTCACAAAACACAATTTTGAAGAAACCTAATTGTTGTTGTAACAAACGTGTAGATATATAATTATTATAACTGTGATATATAATAATTGTACACATAATATATAATTGTAATTTTATATATATATTAGGTTATATAAATCGTGCAGATTTATATAATTGGCAACATGGAAGGAATTACAAATACGCATATATAAGTTAGGATACGGTTGGATAATGGAAAAATGAGAAGAAAAAAAATTGTTTAGGATTAAGGCTGAGTATGCGGGTCTCTTTCCGGCATCATTTGACAATCACGACCACCAAGTATACGCCACCACTTCCAACATAGACTATACCAACGCGTATATGCTATATTGTGACAAGGTTACAGTGTTCAGCTCAATCGAACTTACTAGCAATAGAATAGCGCATTAGCTCTTAATCTGTTGCTGTAGATTTGGGAGATAGATTTTGAAAAATCGTTTCAGTAACTGTTTGATATGAATATAAGTTTGTTTAAGTCATTGTTTTCATGTTTTTTTAAAATTTTGTTATGAATTTTAAACACATATTAATGCAATATTGTGTTTTGAATAAAGTTTATAATTATTAAATAAATATATATAAAAAATAAACAAATTATAAATGTCACAAAAAAAATTTAAAAATTGAAATAAATAAATAAATATGTATAATCAAATTTTATGAAATGAAAAGTAAAATTAAAAGAATAAATAAAAACTAAACCTACCTTTTGCTCAAGCATTTACATGGTATACTTTCCATTTTTGTTCCGTTTCAGTTATTTCCAAACTATATTGTACCCGATCAGCAATACAATTTTCTTCATTCTTGTAAAAATCCCAAATTTTTGGTATTATTTTAAAAGCAGTGCTAAAATTAAAAAAAATTATATTGTAATATTATATATAATAATTATTATATAGGCTATTTTACTAAGTATTTGTTTGCTCTAGCTTATTGCAGCCATTTTCATATTCCTTTAATAGTTCATCATGCTTTTGTAGTAGTTCTTCATGATTTACTGGTTCACCACATTTACAAATGTGGCTACGTATCTTTGCAAAGATAGGTTCTTCAGTCCATAATTTAGCTATTTGTGTGGGCTCAAGTTCTACCGCTTTTCCATTAATAAGACGTACTTGCCAAGTTTCTTTGATATTTGGTGTATTTGGATTATATACTTCAGGAAAGAACATTGTTAAAGCTACATTAGGATTTGCTATTATGTTGTGATATTTCCTTGTGTTACGTTCGGTTACAAAACAAATTGAATTATCCACAAGTCCCCGATATGCAACTGATCGGTTTAATATGTGAAATTCTCTGTTGGGAATTTAATTAATATAAAATAATATTTTACTTGTAATTACGTACTTACTTATCCATTGTAGCAATATTCATTATAATTGACGTCGAATTAATTCTTTCAATAATACTTTTGAACATATCCAGTGGTTCGGCTGGTACATGCTTTATTATGGTTAATTTCGAAATATGCTATAATAATGTATAATTAATATATTATATAGTTTTAGATACATCATCGCATAACTTACTGTCATATTTAATTGAAATGTAAAAAACAAATATGTGATTTTATTTGTGCTTCAGCTGTGAATATAAATGTAATAATATTAATAATTATTAAGCAAATAAAAAGTTTTAGTTTACAATATTATACAAAAATCAATGTTATGTATAAGTTATAGCAATTATAATAAATAATTTATATATTAATTGTTAAATATTAATTTTATATTAATAAATTGAAATGAAACATTAATTTTATATTAATAAAAAATTCAAATGAAATATGTATTTTGAAACGTCATTACATTAGACAAAAGTGCAACCATGACTTTGTGGAGACTTGTCAAATGAAATTGACATTTCTTTCCGCACGACTGCAATAAAAAAAAATCTCAATGAAAAGACAAACAAAATGAAAAACTAGGAAAATATTATAATTGTAGTAATAGTGAAATTATTTAAATAAACGTCAATAGATAATGAATAACTTTTTTTTAAAATAATGATGTGACGTGAAAGCTAATGAAAAAAGAAACCAAAAGTAATAAAGATGTCTTCAATACTTGATATGTCACCCGGTAAACCAGATTACTGGTCAGAAATTAGTAATTTTCTGTTGAAGCATTTTATTACAAATGAACGGTTTGATGTGATTTTAATGCAAAATGTTAATTTCAATTACCTGACAAATGCTCTCTTTTGGATATTGTTAAGTTTCTCTGGTGGCTTTGCAGGATTTTTCAAAGTTTTCGAAGTAAGCTCTAGTTGCAACACAATTTTTTTTCTTATGTATACCAATGTTGATAAGTGCAATTTATGCTTTAAGTTTATCTATTTTTGTGCAGCTAAAAATAAAGTGCAAGGTGTAAATTTTTGTTTTTGCCTAAATTTACTCTCAATTATGTATGCTTAACTTCCATATGCCAAATACAATCAGCTGCCATAAGGGAGGAGAAAAACAGGTGTTCTGTAATTATAGTAGCAAGCTGTGCGGAAAAGATATAAGTGGATGTATTTATTTTTTATAGCAGTTAAAATCATTTTTGGAGAATCGTTAAAGCGTTAAATTTTTTTTAATTTGAATTTAAATTTCAATTAAGCAAATAATAAGAAAAAAACATATATGTAATTGTTTAAATATGCACAAACAAATTATTTTGTATAATTATTAAAATTTTAAATTATTTTTAAATAATTTAAAAATATTTTCTGTAATTTTTTTATATATATTTGCAGGTCTTTTTAAAATCTTCTAATATCAAATATTATAAACGCAAACAGTTTGTGCGTTCAATATGGAATATTGCATTCTACGCTGCTTGTTCTTTGTTCTTATACTTTTATAATCAATTCATGATATTGCCGCAGCTATCGAAAAATCAAGGACGTTATTCGCTATTTTATTCTTCAGAGAATTTAATATTCTTTAAATCACAACAATGTGAAAAATTTCAATTTTATTCATTATTTATAATAACATTTTATATACACGGTGCAATTCTGGATTTTAAGGAAGCAGACATTTTAGAAGCTGCCTCAAAAGCGTTATATACTTTAGCTTTAATTGCCGTTGATGTCTACAAGTGAGTTATATTTTATAAAAGTTTTATTTTAAATTTAAACTAATAATGTGAAAAATTTTAAATTTTAGATATGAAAATTATTTTGTTGGTTTGAATTTGAGCATTGGCCTATATAATATTATAACGGAATGCCTTTTTATACTGGCCTTGCAGTTGTCTATAAAAAATCGTCTAATTTTTCAAGTATTTTTGGGACTACGCATTGCTTCATGGTATTATATTTGTATATATTTTAATATATAATAAAATTCTATTAACAATCATTTAATTTTTAATTTTTAGGTCACACGTTTTTATAAGCTTAATTCCTTTTAAATATTTAGTGCCTACACTCTTTGCAAAGGACTTTAAAATTATATTAAATATTATTATTTGGCTATGGTATGGTTTATCCATATGGAACTCTCCAGTTTTGCAATATTTTTATCATCAGATATATCACAATACACCTGTAGACTGCACTGGTGAAGGGTCAGCTGCAAAGTAAGAGCCATATGATTTTATTTCGCTCTTTCTTATTAATCATAAATCTATTTATCATTATATAGATGTATACTACTGCGGGACTCAAGTGAATTTCGACACTTTAAGAGTTTGAAAAAAGCTTACTTAGAACTAAAAATTGCGCATGAAAAACTTAGAGTAAGCAATATGAGCGCAGAAACAAGTGAAAGCTCTTCCGCCAAAGCGTTCCAAGCTATTAAGTGTGAGTTAATTGTTTAATATACACCATGTATATAAAGTATTTACTAAATTGTATTCTTTCGTTAGGTATAATGACTTTAAAACGAAAATTGAAACGTATACGTGAAGGGCGCGGCTCTACGGCAGATGATGAGACAGAAGATTTGGCCACAGATTGTTGAAAATATTTAATTTAGTAAGCAAACAATATTCTTAAGAATATATTGAAGAAATGATGAACTCTTGATAATAGAAGTCATAATTTTTGAAATATAGTACGTTGCACTATTTTTAACATATAAATGCCTAACGTTCATAATATTTTTTTATTTTTAATCAATACTTCTAATTGTGCATAGCGCTTACTCAACTCGATTGATTATTTGATTTATGTCTAACATTTACGATATTTCACTGTTGTTATGATATATTTTTAAATCATGCATTCTCTAGTTTAGTTTAGTTTCTCATTAATTTTGAAACATGAATATGTTGAAAATTAAATGTTTGATATATGCCTAACATTTACGATATTATACTATTGTTACGATATATTTCAAAATAATACTTTCTGTAGTTTATAGCACTTACTCGACTTACTTATTAATCTCTTATAAATTTCGAAACATATATATGTTAAAAATTAAAAATTTTATATATGCCTAATATTTACGATACTTTACTGTTGTTACGATATATTTCAAATTATTATTTCTTATATTGTCAAGTGGTTCAGCAGTCAACACGATCGCTGTTTATTTTTTATAAATTTTCGAATCGTAAATCGAATCATGCTAAAAACTAATTGTTTTAACATTTACGACATTTTACTGGTGTTACGATATAATTCAAAAGAATACCTTCTGTAGTGTATTTTCTGTCGCGTTTACTGAATTTGTTCATTAATCTGTTATATTTTTGGAATCATTTATGAATTGTAAATTAATTACTTGATATATGCCTAACATTTACGATATTTTATTGGTGTTACGATATATTTGAAAATAATCTCTTATAAATTTCGAATCGTAAATATATTAAAAATTAACTGTATGATATATGCCTAACATTTACAATATTTTATTGTTTTCATGATGTATTTCGAATTAATATTTTTTATAGTGTTAATTGTCTTATTATCTAACACGGCTACTATTTTCTTATAGTTTCACAACGTAAATATGCTAAAATTTTTTAAATGTTAAGCAGTAAATAAAAATATACTGTTTATATTATATATTATAACACAGATTGCGCAGGAATTGTAATTTTTTATTTTTATTATAAAAAACCATTTAGAAAGAATTTATTAAAAACTACTTTAAACATAAATTGAATTTAAAAATACACAAAAACATAATATATTAATCTTAATAGAATTAAAAGAGATAGCTTCAGTTAAACTCTAATGGCTGTAAAATAAGAATATACGATATTAGGTTATTCACACGGCAAAAGTGAATCGCAGGAACCGAATTGAATGGGCATTTACATGACATTTTTGGGATGGTTATTTATTTATTATTACTTGACAGATAAACTTGTGAAGAAAGAAATATAGCATATAATTTCATGAGAAAGTTATACTGAAGAGCAGAACACATTAGAAATTTTAAAACTGCTAGGTAATCAAAACAGTTTCTGAGACTCTTCCTAATTTAATAAGTTAGAATACAACAAAGATAATACAACATCAGAAAATCAACTTATAGCAGCAATTTATGTAGATTAAATAGTGCCGTATTAGAAGGATATTATATCATATAATAATATTTCTCATAAATAACGTATATTATACGATATATTACGATGAAGCATTAATTATCTATTGATAATTGTTATAAATATCGTGAACTATACGATATTAATTATGCGTTGATTAAATATTGTGAGTTACTCATTATAATGATACTTTCATTACGTGAAAGGTTTGGATTGGTTTAGATATGGGGATATATAGATGTCCTTAACGGAATGACCTACTATATATTTAAATTTTTTACTTTTTATTGGTCCAATCTCTGAATATTTACTCTGCATAGTCAGTCGTTTTTTATAACCATTAGAGTTTAACCAAATAATAACTCCTTAACAAGGATAGCACACAATACCAAGATAACCCTTATCCCACTGTTATTCTAATTGCATTCTTATACTGATTAATAAATTAAATAAACAATTTCTTATGAAAATAACAAAAATATATTTCTAACTACTCACACACACACATATATTTAGAAGACAAGTCAAACAAAAAACACTAGCAAAAGACATTTTTACTAATATTCTATATACCTCCATTATAACTATTAGTTTAATTATATGTATATTATGAATTTATTTATATATTATATATTTACATACATAAAGTCTTCGGTGATATATATACTTACTTCCATTTTGTGTTTATAGACCATTTTTATTTTTACTTTTAGCTAATGCACTAAATTAATTAAATTAAATATTAAAAAAATAAATTACTATGTAAAAAAATTGTTTAAATTTTGAATACACAAGACAAATTTATTATTTTAAAATTTTGAATTTTAGTTTTTATTGGTTTTATTTAAATATTTATTTAGTTTTCATTTAAATTTAATTTTTAAAATTTTAAGTTTTTTTTTATCGCTGCTATAATTATTACAGAATTTATTTTAATTTAGTTTTAAGTGTTCAATTAGTTTGTTTCACAATTTAGTTAAGTACAATAATTAATAAATTTTCTATATTTCTTTTTTATTTTTTATGTTTTGTTTTGTTTTGTTATATATATAATTTTGAAAACATTTAACTATTTGTTAACTTATAGATAGCAATTTTTTTGTGTCTTTTGATAATTTATAAATAGGTTCTCTTAAAATTTCTAAATATATATTTTATAATATTTATTATTATTTTTATTATTAAGTCATATGTTATATTATTATGTACTTAATTAATTAAAACAATTTTACTAATTTGTTAACACTTTTTAAATTATTTTTCAATTTAATCTCCTTCAATGTGTTTTCATATAGATTTATATTTTTTTTTTCTAAAATTAATATTTTATTTAAAATTTTTTTAAATATCATGAATTTTCTATATGATTTTATGTATAAAATTTATGTTTATATACACAGGTTTTATAACATATTATATGTTGTTTAATGTTTAAATACTTAAAACATTATATGCTAATGATATTTGTTTTTATTATTTTTATTTTCAATATATGAATTCAACTATACTTATATAATAGTGTTGTGTTTCATACCATTTTAGTACTGCTAATGTTTCGCAGTAAAATTTACAAGTTTTCTTATTTAAAATTTATTAATATATTATTATTAAATATTTTGTGTTATATAAATTTGTAACTGATATTTTATAAAATTATGAATGAAATGTTTTATTGAATTAAAATAAAAATCGAATTAATAAAAAAATATATAAGTGGTTTTAAAAGTTTAATCTTGAAATTTGAAGGTATAGTGCACTGCGATCTAAAAGATCTATTGTGCCCCTTAGTCGGATTAGAGTGTTTCTCCAAGTACGATTTCTTTAATGAAGGACAGTATAAATAAAATAAAAAGTAAAACAAATGAAGGTGTTATTTCCAGTTTCAACAAAGCTTGAAGTACTTTTTTTTTAACTTTAAAAATATTTAGAACTGCAGCCACATATCCACTACTACAAAATTTACGAATTCCATATAAATAGACAGTCACTTCGATTTTATGGAAGTGAAATATGGAAAAAAAACTATTGTAATACAGTCAAAAAATGAAGACGAGTTTTAGATGTTGTTGTTGTTGTTGTTGTAACCCGCCGGGACCTGCTTGTGGAGTCCCTTTGGGAGGTGTTGAACGGTACTTAGTCGTCGTAGGTGACGAGTGTCTTCGGGACGTAGACCCGACCGTTCTTGGAACCACGATTTTTAGATCAATGTCTTCACCAAATAGTGGCCAACAACTGACTTCAGCCAACTTTGAATATGGATTTATAGTATCATCAGAAGCATTTACGAAGGCTTATTTAAATTGGGTTTCGAAAAGTAATTCAAAGTTTATATGAAAATATTTACTTGAAAAAATCAAAAAATCTTGTGTAAAAGTATCTGAAATATTTTAATGAGGAAGGTGCTTGAACCATCCATCACTTTAATATGGGACTGTGGATTATGGTTCAAAGGAAATTTAGAAATGTAAATACGACCGGATAGGGCACACTTTCAGAGTACCAAATAGCAAAATTGCTTGAAGAGCACTTAACTGGCACCTGCGAGTTTTTGTGCGTTACGGTACGGCGGCCCTGATTTGGATAAGAATAGTGGAATGCGTATTAGAATATATAAATTATTCATAGAACGTCATCGTTGCCTATTTTTATGATAAGTTCAATTTAAACTGATAATAGAGGATCTACGCCCCACTTAGGAGGACTGAATCACAGACATATATCTATAAAAAGAATATGATGCTTAATAACAAAATTGACAGAATATATATACTTATTTCGTATATATACTTAATAAAATGAAAACGCTTTAATATGTCTCATAACTGTGTAGCCAGTGATATATAGTAAAAATTGTGCATATATGTAAATAGAAGGCAGATACATTTAGTCAAGAAGTAAGATAATTACAGGAAATTGAAAAGTAACACATGATATGAGAGGAAAGTATAATAAGCAGTTGGGCACACACAGAAGATAGTTATAATGCAAACCGCTACACATGATAGTTTAAAAAAATGGAAAACATCACATACTATTATAGAAATGCAGAGCAAGCGGGTGTGTACACATAGAAGAAGGAATAATGCAAACCGATATTGAAGATAATTTAAGGAAACTAGAAAGCAATACATATACAATAACGGATCACAATAAGGATCACTCAACAACGAGGTGAACATACCAATAAGGAAGTAATGATGCAAACCAACATTAAAGATAATCTAAGGTAAGTGAAAAGCAACACATAAATATGACAGAATCGTAGAATAATGGATGGATATGGATGGAAGTAACTATGTAAACTTAAATTAATTTGAATAAATCAAATATAAGATGCTATAGCTGATCATTAGAGTTGTCAAGTTTTTTTTGTAATCTTTATTGGTAGGGGCTAACAATACGCGTCTGAAACTATGAGTGATTCTGTAACATGAACACGATCGATTTTATTAATATATAATTTAATATATAAATTATTAATTTTTGTTAGTAATTTAATTCTTTAATTAAATATATTAAATCTGATTTAAAAATTTAAAAAAAAATCCAAATCAAAGTAACAAATATATAACATAAGGATAAGGTTGTAGAGCTTCAATTAAAAATTGTTTATTTAAATATATATAATAAAAACAAATAAAAATAATAAAGTT